GGTTTTACGTAAGTTACGTATTCTATAGATAAGAATTCTGAGTTGTGAATTGATATTTGTTCTAGGCGACAATCGTTCGTGATGCCTTGATATTCGTGCTAGAGAGTTATAGCGCGGACCTCAGGTGAGTAGGCATTTGTTTTCTCTATATGTGTGTGTGTGTGCGCGCGCGCTTTACGATTTCCAGAAAACATTTTTAAATGAATTTATGCCTTGTATGCCATGTCTATACCGCTTATTACTATATTGTTGCATTAGTATGAACTATGAATTATAATATTTGATGTTGCGGAGGCTCATGTAAGCTTCAGGTGAGGTAGCATGTGATTGGTCTTATTGCATTGCATATTGCTATGCATTTAGAACTTATTATGCTACACCCCGGTGTTAGTGCTTTTGCCCGAGACCAAGGCACAGCCTTCACGTGATTGTTCACCTCCCGCACCGTACGCTCATCTTGGATCCATGTTTTGGTGCTAGCCTGTCGTACATACCACAATAGGCGGTTCCGACTCGTAGGTGACCTGCGATCTATCGCACAACTTGCACGTGATCGTAGCACTTGAGCGTACTTATTTACACCCAACCTATCTTACAGGTCACATTAGGTGACTCCGACTCATGTGCAGATATATGTTGATGAGTTATAGGTCTAGTCGTATAGGTCATGTTAGGTGATTCTGACTGGCATACTATTTTATATTGGTTTCACACCTGGCTTACATTTATTATTACTAAGATATTATGACATGGCATACTTCAGGTTTCGCTGCTCTTGTGCATCAGTTTTCATACCTACATAATAGTATTTTCTGGAAACTGTATAGGTTTTATAGCGAGGTGTTATGACATTTTCAAAAGGTTTTTATTAAAACGTTATTTTCAGGCCCACTCACCCTTGTTTTTCGCCCCTCCAAGTGTTAGTAGCAAAGTTTTCGTGCCGACGAGGATTATTGGCAAATCATGGGGTAGATGATGATCATCAATGGTATAATTCTCACCATATTTTACTATACTGTACTTATGCTCTGTCATTATGTGTGAATTGGGTTCATTTCCGCTCACAGCATACTCTTGTATTTAGGCACTTTTAGGTTTAAATTTATTCACATTTTCCATATCATTACACTTTATAGTTTCGTTACCTTTCAGGTGTCAGCTAACATAGCTCGATTTGGAATCCTAGTTGACATTCCGGATCAAGGTGTGTCAGCTTGGGAGGGCTAGGCAGCCTCGATTGTCTCTGGGCGGTTTTGCAACTTAAAAAAAAAAAAAAGAAGTCGTTGCAAAGACTGTGCATCTCTGCCTTCTTTCTGTGATTTCGTTGTGTCCTTGCGTCTTGTCCCCTCTTTGCATGCGTAAAAGAGAAGTCAGCATAGAACATTTGACGAGAGAGAGCTCCGTAAATTCAATTAGCAAAGGAGAAGAATAAGACGGCGCATATGTTATGTTGTTAGCTAGGGTTGGAATTTTAGGTGGCTGAAATTCCTTTCAAAATTAGAGAATAAAATATATTTTATTTATTTAATGTGAAAACAAGGCCCAAGCCTTTTTGAATTGAAAAATATGGCCCAACGATTAAAACATATAGATTTAGAAAAAACGTTACAAAACCAAGAGAAAGAACCCCATAATTTTACATATATACTCATATTTTATAATATATATATATATATATAATATGACACACCCCGATCGAGATCAGGGCATGCTGGCCGTCACGTGGAAATGACGTAACCATGTGCACAGTGCGGAAGCTAATAAAATAGTAATGTAAAAAGTACGAATAAATAAAAACTGGCATACATAAGGTAATAGAAATAAGTGCTAACGTAAGTGGGACACAAGCTCAGAGCAATAAGCCTAAAGCAGTCCAAAATAAAAACGGTGCAACAACAGTACACCCGAAGGTGGCCCTACGCTGGTGATCGTCTGTCAGAAATGCCGAGAAAGCCCTCTAGGAAACCACCAAACCTGCTAGACAACTAGAACCTGGAGGGGCACAAAACAAAAGCGTGAGTGGGCAAAAACAAAGCTTTTCGAAAACCATTTAATAAATAAGTTCTAACCCCTCGCCGTAAAACCTGTATACTTCCCAGAAAATAAACATATGTACACACACACACACACACATATATATATATACACCAATCATGCTTCAGGATATGCCATGCCAAATCTCACAATGAAATGCAAGTGCTCAGGTGCAAATCATATCAATATCATATAGTCTGGCAGCCGGAGTCACCTAACGTGACATGTACGGCTGCATCTAGAGCTCAAATCTCAATCTCAATAACTAAACCTGCCCACGAGTCGGAACCACCTAAAGTGGTCTGTACGACAGGCCTGGGTGTAATACATATAAACGCTCTAGTGCTACGATCACGTGAAGGCTGTGCGAATAATTGCAGGTCACCTACGAGTCGGAACCACCTAATGTGGTTTGTACGACAGGACTGTGCACCTAACTTGGATCCAAGCTGAGCGTGTGGTGCGGGAGGTAAACATCACGTGAAGGACTGTGCCCTACTCTGGGCGGGAGCACTAACACCGGGGGTGCAGGTTATGAGCTCTCTAAGCATCACGAATCGCTACTGAATGTAAACATGAATAACACTTACCTAGCACTTACCTGTGCGTCCGCAGCACCCAATATGCATATGTATATATATATATATATATAACTAATAATGCAATTAACGATGCATAAATAATGATAATCTAATGCATGGCATATGGCAAATGACAATTCAAATCAATTCCTGGGAAAATATAAGTATATAGGCATATACGGAAAACCAAAAGCCCACTCACTGGTAAGTGGAAGGGTCGTAACCCCCCTGCCTCGAGTGACCACGCTCGTCCTCGGGATACGTCTCACCTATATGCGAAACAACTATAAAAACGTTAATTTTAAAGCACATAACCAAACTTTAGAAATAACTTCTCATACAATGCTCAAATAGGGTGTATGAATACACCAACGTGATCTACTCAACCTTAGGAACATCCCCATATTTTTAAAATAGTTTTTCACCGCCGCACGCGCCCCCACGCGCAGGCACGTGCCTGGCATGCTAACGGCATCAACTGACGCCGTGAGGGAATATTCCGTTATCCCTAACGGTTTTCGTCAACGGCGTCAGGAATATTCCATCAGACTTGACGGAATATTCCATCAGACTTGACGGAATATTCCGTCGTCTTCTCCGGTGAGCCTCCGGCGCCGTCGCCGGCGCCGGAAAATCGGGAATTTTTCAAACATCGATATCTTCTTCGTTTTTCATCCAAATTTCACAAAATTGGTACCAAAATGAATCTTAGAACTAGAGGAACACAATCATACCACTTTCAAGGGCTAAAATCCACAAAATCTCACCTAAAAATCAACCCAACTCCGGCCAACTTCGAAACTAGTGATCCCGACGTCCAAAACCATCAAAGGAACCACCCCGAGCCTCCTAGGGACCTCACCAAGCTACCTACAAGCTTGAAATTCCCTAAAACGTGAGAAATCACGTGTGCATGAACAGTACCTCAAATCAAACATTGTGTATTCGACGTGAAAACGAAGGTGTTCTTACCTGAAAAAAGTATAGTTGAACTCCCACAAGCCTCACGAGTCTGAAAATGTGCTTGGATTCCACGATCTGTGAAAGTTCGATGGGTGTGTGGGTGTGTCCGTACGTTTCAAAGGAAATGGGAAGGGAATGGGGCTCGGGACAGATGCAGGGAAAGGGAGAAAACAGTGAGGAAAATGTGTGGTCCACCATTAGCCAGCAACCAACCAAAAATAACCACAAAACGTAAAGAAAACGAACTAAGGGCAAACTTGTCTTTTCACACGTACGTTGTAATATTTTGGGACGGGCTGTCACATAATAGATTAACCTATATGTCATTTTATTTTGCAATTTATGTATCTCAATACAATTATGTATTTTTTTTAAGTATAAAGAGACACTTATTTATATGATTTTACTTAAATCTGCCTAGTTTGCCTAAGCGCCGGCCTAGCCGCCTAGCAGCCTAGGTGTTAGGCCCCAACCCGCCACCTGACTAGCACCTAGCGTCTTTTAGAACCTTGGTCTTGAAAAGATAGACTATTTGTTTATTGATGCTTAAAATTCACTATAATGGTCGTTTGTTAACGTACGTACTTTAATAATTTCATTTTTTTATACAAAACGTCTCAGTGGGAAAAATATGCATTTTCTAAATACCAACCTATTTTTTCTTTAGTATATATGTAACACGTACATACGAATGGTTAAATTTTCACCATAGACTTTGAATTTCCACTTATTTTAGTATTATCCACCATAAAATAAATTAACCATAATAATTTTGCATAAAAAATTCAAATTTAAAGAGGGATGGTAATGCTAGCAAAATTAAGGTCTCAAGTTTTCCTTGACTGTTCTGTGTGTGTGTGTGTTTTTTTTTTCTTGGCCCAGTTCTTATCCCATATCATTAATACGGTTTCTTGTTTGATTTTGTTAGCTTCCTCGTTGGAGAAGGAATTGTATTGGACAATTCCATTGCCACCATGGCATCCCGTTCCAATAAAACAATGATACGTGTAAAATTTTCAACACGTAATATTATATTATTAAATTAAGACACCAAGTGGTTGTGAACCTGTTCCACATAAGTTTATGTCCTCTTACTAAGTCTTGCGTATGGCGTATACATAAGTTTCTCAAGTAAATATTGTAGGATTGTATCTAAATGGCATTCCTTGCAACGTTTGCAAAGATTATGATGTTCTAAGTCACTAGAGTTAGCTCATGTAATGAAAGTCGGTATATAAGAATAGGCTGGGTCAAACGTTTGATTTTCTTCCACTATAACAAAAAAGAATGTGTATTCCACATAAACATTTGCTAAAAAATGTCGGTCAAATATTTCAGATCTTCATGCAGTAACTCTTTTCTTTTAAATTGTTTGATCCGATAAATTGGATATGGACTTCCCTGCATGCTGCCAGACAACATATACATTGTCCATTATCAATGAGAATATATTGCATATATTTCACATAACCATAAATGAAGTAGAGAACTTGTGGATATAGTTGATGGATCATCATTTCACTTCAACGCACTGGCAACAGATAAAAAAACACAAACATTAAAACCGAAGAACGCGGCATAAAGAATTGAAGATTACATTACGCGCATATATGAAGACACGCTCTAAAAATTGAAATTTCATGATACATTGCGTCTTATAAAAATTTGAAAAATCAATTAAGTTCTGCTAAAAAATGTAGCATAAGAGGTTGATATTAGTGAAAACCAAGAAAAAGTTGAATGCGATTATCAATAACAGAATGACAAAGGATTAAACCTATTTAGGAGCAAGTATTCTCAATTTGGGGAGCTCCTCAAGCAAACGAGCCTTGGTTCGTCGAATCTCAGCATTCATAGCAACAACAGTAGCCATGTTCCCCTCCCTCGATACCATCTCCAATTTCTATAGATACCAACCAATTGAAACACACAATTCATAATTCATCCGGACATAAGCTCAATTTAGGTGAATACCGATAAAAATGAGAGAATAAAAAAGGATTAAAGCTTTAATTTTCGATTTCTCTGTTTCACCAAACTTTGGTTCACTGAACTAATCACACACAATGTTAACATCTTTTATTTATTTATTTATTTATTTTGCTTCAACAAGTCAACTAAAACTAGGAAAAACATAAAAGAAAAATAAAAATTCTACCTTTCCTTTCCTTTCGACATTACTTCGATTTTCTTAGGAAACAAGCGGACCAAAAGGGTAACAAAAACTAAAATGCAAAAAATTTTCTTCTTTGAAGAAAATAGGAAAGTGATTTACACGCAACTTTTTCTCTTTATGCACATATCTTTATTTTTTATCTTATTAAAAATAAAGCAAAATAGAATCAACGGATAGAAACAATGATGCATATTAAACAAAAAGTGTGTGCATAAATTATAACTCATAAATTATTATTGTCATATTAAACATGAAATTGAGAATTCTATATAAAATTTCACTGATTTTCTCTTCCTTTGCTTCAACAAATTTCTATCAACCAACTAAGACACAAATGCGCAACTTGTTAACGAGAAAAAAAATAGTAGAGAGAGAGAGACCTGGAGAGCAGCTTCGAGGTCGGCCTCAGCGACACCGTATAGGCGACCAAATCCATCGTCCCAAAAAATATTATTGAGCTCCTTTTGCTGATCAATTTCGTAATTGTCGTATTTCTTGCATATTGAATCAACCCTCATTATCAAATCGTTCATACTCATCTCTCTCTCCCTCTCTCAGTTTTCAACTGATCCGAGACTTTGTTGTTATGGTGGGTTTTCTGGGTTCAGTCGGAGGAGGAGGAGGAGGGCAACAAGAAAGAGACCAACTAGTTACGTTGACCGTTTCGATTCTCTCAGAAATGAAAGAAACGTAAAATAAAGAGAGAGAGAGAGAGAGAGAGAGAGAGATGGATGGATGGAGGGTTAATTAAGGTTTGTGTGAAGTTTGTTTGGAATTTCTTTTGTCGGATTCTGACAAGTGTACTGTTAAGATGTACTGTGTACAACACTCTAACACTGATTGCATTCTTTTATTGTTATTCATTAAAAACGGTTATTAACATTTAAAAAAAATTATAACTCATAAGTGTATTTTTTTAATTACAAAAAATTTAGATGCAAGATGATTTGTTCGAGTACCAATAATATCCTATTCATTTTACTTATGCAATATTGAAATTGAAGAAAATAATATGAACGGACGAATGTTTTTATCAATTAAATTATAATTTTTTTTATGTCATTATATTATTATAAGAGAAAAACTATATGTATAATATGCTTATGCCGCTAATTAAAAAAAATTATTTTGAATTAGAACCCAAAAACATGAAGAATAAGAAGAGGGAGGGAAAAAAAATGCAACTCCCCCCCCTCCCCCGGGGCAACCCACCTCCCTTGCACAGAGACACCTAATTTCAGGTGGTTTTGCGGTAGATTCATCTTGGGGAGTTTGAGATGGGGATGAGTTTGGGATGGTTTTGTGGTAGATCCACCTAATCTTGGGTGGGATTTTTGAGGGTGGGTGATGGGGGAAGGGAGTGATGGGTGGTTTGGGTGGGATTTTGGAGTGGGTGATGATGGATGGGAGAAGGGTGTGGGTCAGGGATGGGTTTTTTTTTTTTTTTTAATTTAGGTTTAAAAAAATATTTTTTTTTGTCATGTAGCACATATTTGGCAGTCACTTGACATATATGTGACAGCTACGTCAGCACTTAACGGATTCATGATTGAAAAATGTAACAGGATGTATTATTTGAAATAAAATAGTACTTAAGGTATAAAAGTGAAATATTTTGAAAATGTTGTAAAGAATTGAAATAGGTTCAAACCTGATGTATGAAAATATAATTTACGTTATTTTTTATGAACAAAGTATAAATGAATCTTAAAAATACACATAAAGAGTGATTCGTTCTCTGGCCAAAGTTAAGTAAATAAATAAAAAATCTAAAAAAAACAGCAGAAGCCATGGATGACTGGCACATGTCAAAGGCATCAGACTCACAAAAAGTTCTCCAATTTATCCATTTAAAAATCCTATCCGAAAAAAAAAAAAAAAAAAACCATTTAAAAATCCACTGGTAGTGACTGATCAAAATCATTTAAATAACTTAATAAACAAATAAACCCACTTCTCTTTGTCGTTTTTCTGTTCCATGAATCAGAATACCATGGCTTCGAATTCGATTCTTTGTTGCTCTTCCCATTTAAATCCCAGTCTATTCGTCGTCGTTTTCTGGTTATTCGTCCACTGCTATTCGTATGGCGAACTGGGTCCGTACAGCAGCTTCACTGTCTCCAGCTTCAGCTACCGACCAACCACAATTGGACCCTCTGGATTTCGATATATTAGAGGTGAATGATTAGCTTTTTGATAACCCTTTGAAGCATTCGATTGATTGGTTCGGTCTTTGTATTGTATGGAGAGGATTATGGGGGTGTAATATTTGATGGGGTCGTAATCAAAATGTTGAATTTTTCTTCTATTGTTTTTCGTTGGAATTCTGTAAAGTACATCGACATAGGTTTTCTTGTTGAATTATGCTATAATTCTAAGTTTTGACCATTTTGATTTGGGTTGGTCTGAAAGTTGCTAACTTTATCTGTGATCATGTTTGAAAGTTCTTGACATGGGATTGGTTGATTCACAAGCAAGCAAATTTTCAGTATTTTGTATTTTATTTCGATTATCGTGTGTTATGAGTGATTTTTTTAAGATTGTAATTTTGATTTATATTCAGAATTGTATATCTAATGGTTAGTTATGCAATTCCTAACTGGTTTTGGTGTTTTGCCTTGTTCTAGTTGAAATGCCACCATGGTTCTCGTCGATAGCAATGAATTCGAACGTGGAACTTGTAAGTATGCGTACCAAGGTTCAAATTTTCCGCTTTTTCATTTGTCAACAATGCTTTAGTAATTTGAGGTGGAAACTGGAAAGGTATGCTGTGTACTTGCCCGAGTGCTGATTCCCAAATGAAAGTGGTTCAGTGGATTCGTGATTGCGTTCCTTTCCATAAGAAACAAGCCTGTAAATCAAAACTATAGTTGAATACATTAGCATCCTTGCTAATGATTCAAATTATTTTCAGGCTGCTGGAGACATAGAAAAGGTTCCTAAAGTTGAGTTACCATTGATTTGCTTCCGAGCTGGTAGCCTCCCACTCCCGGATGTTAACACTTCTCTAGTGGATTCAGGTATATGTCACTCAGCTTTAGATGAACTGACTAAATTGAAGTGTTGGTAAAACAATATTACTCCGTAGTCTCTAGCTACATGTGTACTTTGTTTTCTGTTCTATCTGATGCTTTGTGCCCTGTATTTTTACATTTCTGATCAACATGCATGTCAAAAGTATTCCACAAGAGTTTAACTTGACAGATACCTTAGGAGAGTCAGGACTGCCGGGTCTGCCTTTATTAGTTTCCTTCTCTTCGGATAAGCGTTAAGTATCCCCAACAAATCTGCTTGCTGAGCTATTTTGTCAAAAGTGCTTTTCAACTATTACTTAACATGAATTCATCAGTGTGTGTGGTTAATCAAGGACAAGTACAACTGGTATACCCAAGCAATTTGTTTCACGTTTTTTTTCGCATAGGCACATCTAGATTTTCAGTTGCCCTTATTTTATATTACTTTGAATTCTATTTGAACAATGATTGAACATAGCAATGAATGAATTTACTGATATCAATGAATGAATTTACTGATATAGGAGTTCTCTCTCCCCTCTACAATGGTTCCTATAAGGGAATACAAGCTCTTCAGAGTTCACAGCAGTGCTATCCTATGCAAAAGAATTTTACACTCAAGTTGACAAATGAGCAGGTCTATCATCAAACCCTTTACTTATTTTTGTACACTTTTGGAGAGGGAAAGTTTGCTCGAAAATTTAACTAGTTTGTTTGCGAATATTTTCTTGTTTTTCTGAACAAAATTTTATTTTCTATATACCAAAGAAAAGTTTATATACTGTGTCTTACGGAATTGTAGTTCAGATTTCTCCAGGAGTTTGGTATTTCGGTCTTTTCAATGGAATTGGACCTACAAGGACACAATCAAAGATGGTATCTATTATCCTTTAGATTTTATAGTTCTTGTGTTGATTTGCTCTGCTGTTAGTCATGCACCTGAAACCATTAGTTCCCTGTTTACCTGTATGCGATGAAGTTTGTTGTTCATACCTCACTTCAAAACATACATGCATACATATAGATATATATATATATATATCATTGCATATACATTTATATATATATATATATATATATTTCTTTTCTGTCGAAGGGTCTTAATGCACTAATAATGGATAACATGGCAGATTAATCGCGCCCCATCATACTCATTCAGTGCCAATATCACTGTGGAAGGATGTACGACCCTAACCATGTGGGGCCCATACTGCAATCAGACAATTAACACACTTTCATGTGCTCAATCTAACAGTTACAGTGCTGCAGACAATACTTCAGAAGCTGGTTTGTATAACCAAACAATTGAATATGTAATTTCATGTAAAAACAATTTTGGCACTTGTCATGGAGATGGTGAGCCCAAATTCTACTCTTTGGATGTAGTGGGAGTATCACACGAGTTGAAAATTTTGGCGAAGGATGTTTGGTTAAATGTAACATCTTCAGATAACACCAAGAATGTTAGTGATATTAATTTAATATTTTATGCACGGCATGGTGCAATACCTTCAGAAACTGTGCATGACTATTCCAGTAATATAAACAAATCCTCATTGGTCATTCAATTTCCAAAGGTCGGTCGCTGGTATATTACTGTTTTACCTCTCAACATTTCAAAAGAGCTTGAAGGGAGTCTGGATACTGACACAAAAGTTTGTTATTCCTTGGAATCAAAACTGCTTGAATGTCCGGAGGGCAAGGCCGGAGCAAATTGTACATGGGAAATGTACACCCTTCAGGTGGGCTTGCTGATAAATGTGTTTCTGCTTATGAAAGTTCTTGAAAGTATTAATTTCTTCAAAGTAGTAGAGTATTTGTTTAATTTCCACATTGATATTGTTAATACTTGTATGCATTAGTGGTGAAGATTAAAACATTAAGTATATATTTCGAAGTTAGTTTGCACTGACAGGTATAAGAAGGGCGTGCTAGCAGAATATTTTAAGAATTGACTTGTAGTGGCCTAAAAATGCAGAAACATAGCGATTAAAGAAAAATTATGGGATCAAGGTGGATGTACTTATTAGATGGATGTTCTTATTTTCTGTAGTATTTAATTTTATTCTTGATGCTTCAAGAAACTTATTGGCAGGAATGATTTTGTTGACAAGCTGAGAATGGTTGTCTGCAGACATCACTGAGGAAAGGTTCAAGCTACTTTGAATACTACTATTTACTCATCAGTGAAAAAGTGCCTCCTGAGTCAGCCAATTTTCCTCTTGATCATCTTTTAACCAACTCCTCGCATGGTGGACAACCAGAAGAAACATGGACTTACTTTGTGTTGGACATTCCGCGTGGAGCAGCTGGAGGACATATGCATATTCAATTAAACTCCGATGACAAGGTTAACTATGAAGTATATGCTAGATATGGTGGATTGCCATCTCTTGCTAGCTGGGACTATTTTTATTCGAACAGGACAAGCAGTAGCCATGGCTCCATGTTTTTTAACTTATATAATTCAAGTGAAGACAAGGTTGATTTTTACATTTTGTACATTAGAGAAGGAACTTGGGGTTTTGGTCTAAAGCATCTCAACACCACCAGTGATGCTTCGAAAGTTCCGACTATCATGTCTGTTTCCCTTGAAAGATGCCCGAGAAGGTGCTCTTCACATGGAAAATGTGAAACTGCGTTGGATGCTAGTGGATTGGCATCATACAGGTTTATGTTTATCCTTCCCCTATGATTTTTTATGTACCTGTGTTCTTAAGTTTCCTTTTTTGGAACACCTATGTTTTAATTTCTTGATCAGGAAGATAGCTGACACCTTATTGCGATCAGTATAGGTTTCTAATTTTAATTTTTTTATCAGCTTCTGCTCATGTGATCCAGACCATGGAGGCTTTGACTGTAGCATTGAACTTGTAACACCTCATGGTATGTGTTATTTCAGGCTCAGCAGTGAACTTATACAAAATTGTTCTCTATGCAGTTGGTCTTTTTTATTTCTGCTCATAGTTCAAAATTTGCTAATTTAGTCTGTTTTTTATTGAATAAGGTTCATTTGTCATGGAGCTGGTACATGAATTTTCTTCTAGGAAGCAAATTGAAATAGAAAGTGTCATGGCAAAATCCTGCAAAAATTGAGTCTACTAGTTTGGAGAAATAAAATGTAGATGATCAAATTGCCAAAACATATATCATTACTGAAAAAGATGTTTTCAGAAACAATATAAACTTGTCTAAGTACATACTGTATCTACTTAGTTTGGATGACATAGGCTCTGAATCTGATATAGTTAGTTTGAAGTGGTTTTCTACAAAGTTATTGTTTACATTGCAAACTATCCAAGATTGATTATTATGTTCTACAATTGTTCTCTTACTTATTTCCTTGCCTGAAAATTGGCATAGGGCACGTATGGCAATCCATTTTTCTTATTGCGTCAAATGCTGCAGCAGCACTTCCTGCATTTTGGGCCCTTCGACAGAAGGTAATCCTCTTATAACTTTAACACTTGATTCACAATAACTAGACTTCTTCAAACATAATGTAATAATATATTACTAGTTGAAGTTTGCGACAGTACTCTCCGTAAGATTATCCTAAGTGGACACTAAACTGATGCCATATTGGTTTGACTCAATTCTGAAATTTAGACGATTTTCTTTATCCAACCGGAAACCTTTTTTTGGCTTTTAACAAGTTAATCATAAACTCCGCCTGTGTAAGTTAATCTTACATTGCCGGTCCCAAGCCCGAATAAATGAGGAGGGGGAGTGCGTCAGGTAGTTAACAGCCGGCACTCCTATCTTACGTTGAATCCTTGGGATGCGATCATACCAGCTCACATGCACCTGATCCCATCCGAACTCCGAAGTTAAACGAGTTTGGGCGAGAGTAGTACTAGGATGGATGACCGCCTGGGAAGTCCTCGTGTTGCATCGCCCCACAGCCAACCCCACCTGGTGGGAAAAGGCTTTGTTGTGTTGTAACAAGTTGATCATATATCTATTTACAGGCATTGGCAGAGTGGGTGATATTTACATCTAGTGGAATTGCAAGCGGAATATATCATGCATGTGATGTGGGAACCTGGTGTCCTCTGGGCTTTAGTGTCTTACAGGTACACTTCTTTGTCTCTTTTCCTTCTTAAAGAAATAACTAATGGTCGAACCTTTTCTTGCAATAAAGAATGAGAACGCGATATGCAAGTAGTGGCAAAAGCCTAGACGCATTTGAAGTTGACAAATCCGTGGTATCACGTAATTAAGCAGTTATATACATTGCATTAAATCTTTATGATGAATTAGTTATCTCGAATTTTCAGTTCATGGACGTCTGGCTTTCTTTCATGGCCGTAGGGAGCACATTTGTGTACCTAGGCACAGTTGAGGACGATCTTAAGAGAGCATTACACACAGCCGTTGCACTTCTTACTGCACTCATGGTTTATACTAAGGCCAGAAGGTATCTTGAGTTGATGGACACAGTTTCAGTGCATTTTAAATCTGGACTCGGTTTTTAGTACTTGCGTCATGCATCTAATCATGTTGAAATTTGCAGGCCGGGGAATATTATTCTTGTTATAGTAATTGGAACCATTGCTCTTCTTATTGGGTGGCTGATAGAATTGTCAACCAAGTTTAGGTCATTTTCATTTTCAACCAGATTCTCCTTAAATATGCTTGAGAGGTGGGTATCCTTGGAACGGTACGATGTTATTTTAAGTTAGCAAACCCTATTTGAATATAATAGCCCTAGTAGATAAGTTGAGGGTAACCCGTTAACTTTTGCGGTAACATATATATGTTGGAGTTTATATATATGCTTATCCATTCCATTTCCTTTTCTAAAATACCAACGGATTACGCAGGCTCCAAGCTGTTAACGGATGGCTGAAGAACCTCATTAAGACAACTTTTAGAAGATTTCGCTGGGGTTTTATACTTGCAGGTTTAGTTGCATTAGCCATTGCAGCAAGTAGCTGGGTACTGGAAACCAATGAAAGCTACTGGATTTGGCACAGGTATGGTTATATCATGAAAATATTCCTCTCTCTCTCTCTCTCTCTCTCTCTCTCTCTCTCTCATGATTGGTGCATAAAATGATCTGCAGCATTTGGCACATGACAATATATACATCTTCCTTCTTCTTCCTATGCTCAAAAGAAAGTCCTACAAGTACGGTAGATACTGAGAGTCAGATACCACCGAATGGAGCCTATGAATTGACTCGACAAGATTCATTTTCAAGAGGTGAGTAACGAGAAGAGTAGTACGGGAAATTTTGCAGTGTTAAGGTTATAGAAAAAAGAGATGATTTTTTTTTTTTTTTTACTGCCAAGAGAGAATGTTTTGAGAGATGAGAGGTTTGTGAATATCTTACTGCATAGATAGGAAGTATTATGAGTTGGAGAAAGGTGAGAAAGTTATTGAAGGGCCTCGGCGGAAACTAAAGTACAGACTGAGTGATTTCTAACCAAGTAGCGACTGAGTGACGCTGAATCAACTAGTCATGTACTCTTTGTAATTGTAATCATAATACGCTCGTATATCTAATAAAGGAATACACTCATGTCGAATGCAGTAACTCCAAGAACAATGAACATACAAGTAAAATTTCAACAGACCAAAATACAATATTGTTCCCCTCCTCCAGATCCATTCTTCAAGAAATTACTTGGCTTTCCTACTCAAATTGCACATGCACATTTACTGTGTAGTTCTTTTTTACAAAACGCAACGCTCTTCGTGTTCTATCTCCGATAAGACCATATTATCTTTACATTCCATGGGAGCCCGAATCATGCTCAAGTACTTATTTGTGAAGGGCTAGAAAATGAACAGAAGTCTGGAGCTAATACCTCTTTGTAATCCTTACGGATGGTCCAGAGGATCTCCGCGCACCTCCTCATGCTAGGCCGGTTCTGTCTGCGTGGAGCCAAGCATTGTAATGCTAGTTCAAGAATCTTTTCGATGATGGCTAGATCACTTGCTGCTCTCTTTTCCAACCTCGGGTCCAAAATCGAAAAAGTATCTCCATTGGTAAACTTCTTCATAGCCTGCAAAACCAACCTGAGTCATGCACTAAATTCCCATGTAAACTAGCTCAAGAGAGGAGAAGTTCATACCCATTTTGCAGTTATTCGTTCCTTGGTTTCCCGTTTAGGTTCAATTGGACGCCTGCCTGTAACTAGCTCAACAAGTAGCACACCAAATGAGTAGACATCACTCTTCTCCGTGAGTTGATAGGTTCTCAGGTACTCGGGGTCCAAGTAGCCAGCGGTTCCTTTAACTTGAGTAGAAACATGGGTGGCACCTGAGTCGCTATCAGCAGCAAGCCTAGCAAAACCAAAATCAGCTACCTTGGCCCTCAAGTTTTCCGTTAAGAGAATGTTGGACGACTTTATGTCTCTATGAATAATCGGATGATCTGCCAAGGAAGCCGAAACATGGTCTGGTTAGTTCCGTCACAAAAATTCTACAACTCTCAGAGAACTAAAACTGGAGAATTACCCGTGTACGTATGCAGATAGGTGACGGCATGAGCCACATTAATTGCAATGTCTAGCCGTGCTGCAAGTTCAAGAATCTCACCGTGCAAACCTGCATTACGCGTTGTATCACATTTCAGGCACTCAAGGTGATGCATTGAGGAGCCAAGGTGCACAGATACACGCTCATTCGATCTCACAGGCACACACAGCACACAGAAAGGAAGAGAGGAAAAGAGAGAGAGAGAGTAACACAAATAGAACTTACAATCCAAATGTTGCCTGAGGTTTCCATTAGGAACATACTCGACAACAACAATCTTTTCATCTTGATGCTCCAAGTACCCGTAGAACTTGACCAAACTCAAATGCTCCACCTGCGCCAGCATTTGAATCTCGCTTTGGAATTCCACTCCCAAATGCTTGTCATATACACTCTGCAAACAAAAATAACCATGTCCTCAGTTAACACTATATCGCACCCCGGTTTTAGCCCTATAACACACTTGTACCGGACCTTTTTAGCGCGTTTGATTGCAACAAAGGTCCCGTCTTCGAGTCTTCCCTTATAAACCGTCCCAAAACCACCTTGTCCAATCTTGCAAGAGGGAGAGAAGCTCTTTGTGGCCTTGTTTATCTCTTCCATGGTGAACTTTACACTCCTGGGCTCACTCGCATGCCTTGAGTTATTTGGATTGGAGTAGATGCCTCGACTAGAACCGCGTCTTCTCTCGCTCCCATCTCTCGAAGCATCTGGAAATACTACAAAATCAACTTAGTTGTTCAGTCTACCTCATTAAACAGACAAACTAATTTGTTTTAATCATTTTTCTCTTCTTAAAAATATGAATAAAAAATAACAGAGAAGAAAACAAATGGCAGCCTAATACTTTCTTCATTTTTTAATCAAGCAGGCCAGTAGTTCTTAATTGTGTGCTAAACTTTATAAGCAATATAATTAAGTTCATTTCAAATTCAATCGTCGTACTTTCTAATAATTAACACAAAAGTCGTCTACTGACTCTACTTCCTTAAGATTCCATCCATTAGATACATTATACAAATATAATAACGATAAATAAAAAAAGTCGGAAAATTAATTCATAACCGAGGGTTGCTTCTGCAATGGCTGAAAGTGCTTTTCACAACAAAAGTTGCTTCTAACGACGTTCAGTTTAGTAGAAAACTTTAAAGTACTTGTGGATCGTAAAAACGCTTAGCTCTTCCGACAAGCACTTGGGTTTTCAATAAGAATTTCTAACATGTTTATAAGAAAACAAGTACAAGTAATTTCTAACATGTTTACATGAATTTCTAAAATTCGATCTCTACGAAATAACTCTACATTTTTTACCAGACTCAGCTTAAATTCTTGAAAGGAAAAAGTTACGGAAATGGAATTACCGTCGGGAGCTCTGAACTCTTCAGAACCCGCGAAGCTTACGGAGCTCTTGGTCTCCGGCGGAGTGAAGCACGAGACGAAGGCTCCGGCGAAGGAGCGGGCCGCGACAGCGACCACGCTCTTGCCAGAGCTGGTTTTCTGTCCGGTTGAGGCGTCGTTGTAGGGCGAGCTAGGAGAGTAGGGGATCCGGTCAGGGGTGCTCCGCGGGTCGGACGTAAGGCTACGGCGTCGGTACGATGGGGTTCGCCTCATTTCAGAGAAAGAAAGAGGGGACCGGAGAGATGGGACGTGGACGTAGAAATGGCGGGTAGTTGTAAGCGGGTAGTGAAGGACTTTGATTTTTCACAAGATGAGCGAGAGAGAGAGAGAGAGAGAGAGAGAGAGAGAGAGAGAGAGAGAGAGGAGAGAGAAGACTTTGACTTTTCAAAAGATGAGCGAGGCTTACGTGCGGCGTTGTAGTCAAGGACTCAAGCGTGTCAAAGAGTAGGACCAGGTGCAAAATGGTTGGGTTTTTTCGGTGTAAGATTTTCAATTAAAATCTTTTATCACTCTACTCTAAGAATGTAAAAACTATGAGAAAGATTCGTAGTTCAAGTAATTAAACATGTATTATCCTTGCTTGAGATTTTATCTTCGATTTCTTTCGTCTATTATCGCTTGATAAGTTAATTGAAAACGACATTAGACATAACATTTCAACTTTTTTAGTTTAGTGTCATTTTTAACAAGTTATTGAATACGTTTATTTCTACTTTAGTTTAAAATTTTGTTCTTCCTAACATTATTTTTTTACTTTATATGGACACAAGATTGATGCCCCAGGCACTGGCTTTCATATCTCTAAATCCAAAAGGTTAGGGACATTTTCCTAAAAGAAATTATATTTGTTGGTTGGTTGTAACTTTTATGACATCTCTTAATCCATCTTTGATCATTCTGGTATATATGTAAGCGAAAAACGAAGATAATGAACAATGAGTGCTACGTCTTATAACAAATATTGTCTTGGTTTTTAAATTGATGGAATGACCCATTGTGTATGATTTGCATTATATTGTTTATTTATCAAATTACGAACAATGAAAAAACCGTCACCAACTCCATACTGAAAATGTACAAGTGAAATTAACCTTGTGTTTTGAGTATTTTCCTATTAATATCCATTTCTTTATCACTAGATATTAATAAGATTTCGTCTGACTTTTTGGTTTCAGTTTGAAGAAGTGAATGTGAAAACATTGGACCGACAGATCCTACCCTTTGTAAAACGCCTATGAAACATGCCCTGCCGTTTTCTTTTCGTAGCTCAAACATGCCTGTCTCTTTTTTTTTTTTTTTTTTTTGGATAAAGGAGATTCATTACCAAGAGAACACAATTACAGACAAAGGGGCGCAAATATACAGAAAAGACAAAACAAAAAGTGAACCCCCAACACTAAACAAAAGCCCAAACCCGAGAGAAAGCCCCAAAACAGAAAACACCACAAGACTAGCATCCTCCTCCGCCGTCGAAGAACCGGCCGTCGACCACAATCCAGTATCCCAGGCCAGAGATCGCACCAAACACAGCCCCAAAGAAGAAGGCGCCAGCGTCCTCCACCGACACCACACAAATCGAAACCGCAGCCACCAAAGGAAGAAGCTAGAGGGAAAGAACTTTCCCCCAGCAACAAAGCCGAAAACAGCATACAAGTGGAAGGTGGTGGTGGGTACACCATATGAGCCGAAGCTCTGCACACCTTCCTAGAAAACCGCACAACGCGGGTGGAAGAGATGGTTGCAGAATTGAACATGTGTGAGAATGATGTAGGACAGAAGCAAATGGAAAAGGTAGAAAATGGTTGGAGTAGAGTCATGGAGGTGGAAAAAAGTGAGAGAGAAGAAGAAAAAGGAAGGTTGGAAGTGGGACTGTCAGATCGAGACCGATGAAAGGTGAGATCGGAGGTCACAGTGGGGGAATAACCAGAACAAAAGGGCAGAAAAACCCGGAGAAAGCCAATCACACAAAGAAGGGAAGAAGGAAGAGGACGGAGGAAGAAAAGCACCAAGAGAAGAGAAAAGAAGAAGAAAAGGAAAAGAGAACAACAGAGTAGAGAAGGGGAAAGGAGAAGAAAACAGAAGAAGAAAAGGAAAAGAGGCAACCGACTCCAGCCGAAGCCAGAGTCGGCGCCGGAGTAGGAGGAAAAGCTGAAGACCCTCACTAAAAGGGAAAGGAAACTCTCACAGAGGAGAGAAGGTCTCTCAGAGGGAGAGAGAGGCACTATCTTTTGACGTGTGACATTTTTGCCTGTCTCTATTCTTTAGCGTGAGTGACGGGTATAATTTGTGCACACCTCCTACCAAACAAAATTGCAACACCATAATTAATGTGACGGCAAAGAAAGTTGAGATTAAACCATAAAATTAAATGGTAATATAGGAAGTAGTTCAATTATTTATAAGCGTATTTAAGGTTCCTTCTCTCATCGATGTGAAATTCATTCTCAATAATGTCCCCTCACGTGTGGCAAATTTTCAAGCCTAACACATGGCAACACAATTTGGGTGATGTGGAACATGTGTAGCCGTTGGATTTTGTACATAGGACAACCTGTTTTGATACCATGAAGTTAAAGTTCTACCATAAAACCAATTGGCAATATGAGGAGTAACCCAACAACTTATAAGCACATACAACATTTGTAGTCACATTTATAATACAAAATACGTATAGCAAAAAAAATCAAGTAATGTTGCAATTTTGATGCAAGATTACTAACACTTTGATTAGAAGTTAATCGACTATGGCAATCCAACAACAACTCCTAGAGTGCAGTCTCCAGTTTGTTAGAATATCGACATAATTTCAAGGAACCCCTCCCAATTATCAACATCTCATATATTAAATTAAGAAAAAGATTATACATGGTAAGGGGATTTTCTTTATATGGATGAAATGATGTGACCCAACAACAATAAGAGAAAAATGATAGGAATTTTTATTGCACAGATGTTCATTTATTGTAGTGGCTAAAATCAATCAAGCTTATGCATGCTGGTGCGGGTTCAATTCTTACAGATTTCCTTTTTCCCTAACAACTAACGTTATCGTTTTTACAAGTAACAATTTAACCTACTAACGCTATCGTTTGGCTATAATTTTTTATTGTGTCGATCTCATGTGTTTCAGAATTATATTGAACTTTAGCTAAACTACATTCATAGTCCTTGTAGTTTAGATTTTGAATTTCATCCTTCTAATTTTAATCTTTGCTTTTCAAGCCAATGCAATTGGCTTAGTAGATATGGTAAAGTAACTTTAAACCTTCTACTTGGTTTCCTGCCTTTCTTATAGTGTCTTGGCACGTAACTCAAGGAGTTTCATTGAGCGTGCCAAAATTATGTTTGTGTCACAATTTCCTTGTGAGTGTTGGTACTCTTTGTTAGAAATGCATTTGAAAGCCTTGAGTAGGCATCAAGCTCTTTTAAATGAGTTACAGCTTGTTTGGATGTGATTTTCAAATGACTGAAAGCGTTTTTAGTGAAAATATTTTTGGAAGCAATCCTTAGTAAAAATACTAGTAAATCCGAAAAAAAAAAAAAACACTTAAAGTGCTTCCTAGAAAAAGCACATAACTGATGCTTCTTGTAGAAAGCACTTCAAGTGCTTTTGGAACCCAAAAATATTTTCTCTAAAAGCGCTTTCAGTCATTTTAAAAGCATATTCGAACAAGCCCTTATTTGTTACTGTTAGGTGTGCCACTCTTAGCTAAGACCAAAAGGATTTAAATGATGTTATTGTTAGATTGTAGACTGGTGCCACAAGTAGACTGAGCTTAGGGTTTAAAATACATGTTAAGTCTTTTCTACGCCTTGTTATGTAAAGGACTTCAAATATTTTTTTGAGCATGCCAAGTGATAACCATAAACTGATTGGATTTTGGTTCAACTCAGTTTGCAATTCTGATATAAATATAACCTCATGATGTATGACAAACTATATGGAAATGAAAAGATAGGAAAGAAATGAAGTTAAACACTTACCAAATATTCAACGAGTAATAACTTGAAAGGAAATGAGAAATACAAGCAATCAGGCAAGTTCTATTGCTAGTCGGGCAAGTTCTTGCTAGCAACTGAAGTGCTTTAAAATAAAGTTTTAATACAAGAATCAATATTACAAACAATGTACCAGAGCTTCAACCGTAAATACAATTGCAAAGGTGTTGAATTACAAAAGGAATTTGGAAAAGGTAGGCTGCATAGCTTTGAAGTCTTTTTGTGTTGTGAGTTGAATGTCCTTGTCTTCTGCTTTTATGCTACCTTTTATAGAACAGGCCTTTCTTCCGGTTTAAGCTTTTTCCTCTCAGATTAATCCTGTCTGCTCCCAGTTGTTGATGTGACTGTTGCCAGAGAATAAAGAATTCACATTGCAACTTGAGCTTTTATCCTCTCAACAGCAGTCAACAACAGCTAGTTGTGAACTGAATAGTGCTGACCTGAAACGTGCATCGATCAACAAATTCACTTTCTGTTACATCTTCTTTCGTATTATAGTAAATACTCGAGGATACATAGATATTATTTTAGTTTAATTACTCCAACCACCTTTTGCGCATTGTGTCAATTCTTTCCGTGCCTCGTTACAGGAAACAATTTTGGTGATGAAAAACAGCAGCAAGCTGACATTAGTTTGACCGCATCGGTTTTACATGGATGAATTTGCAAGTTGATTCTTATGCAAAATGTATAGATACAAGCGATGTTCTACGCTAATATATATTTATATAAACTACGAGGAGGGTCATTCAAACTCGGGTGCAAGAGGGGGAGCACATTACTCTAACCAACTTAACTAAGCCGAATACTGCAAGGACACTAAATGGAAAAGAAAGATTAGATTTCATGGGTCATCATTTTCTTTTGTTATCTTGCACACAAGTGCACAAGGACGCAATTCTTCCCAGATTTCAAAACTAAGAGGTGAAGCACTGAGAAGAAGACAATAACTGGTCTCTGGCACAGAAACGCACTAGGAAACTTGGGATTGAAATCAACAATAAGAACTTGGGTGTTTAAGAATGACAGGAATGAATTACTAATTAAAAGACTAGATAGGGAAGAAATGCCAGAATCTTACGAGAGACACAGTTTTTGGTAGTAATATTCTCGAAATAGACGTATTATATAGATAACTAGACAACTTATCTAAGAACTAATAGCAGGTGAGATTTTAATGAGACATGAAGATTTGTTTAATAAATGTAAAACACTCGGGAGATCCTTACCTCACAAGAAACCATGAGAGCTGATCACCATCAGAGTGGAGCTACC